GGCCCACAAATGTGTACCTTGGTACGTATGGCGAAACTTATGACTGCGTCAGGGCTCGAAAAAACTCAGAACTTTTACCCGTCCCCGAGGACAGCTTGTTCAACAATGTACCCGTCCTCCTTTGAAACTAACCCGTAGCTTCTAAATAAATAAAAATATAATTTTCTCTTATTTATTACAAACATTTATCTAAATTGCACAATGAATTAGTAGTTACTGGGATTACAAATACTAGGATTACAATATACAGTAATAAAAGAAATACTAGGTTACTAATAGTAACCTAGTATTTCTTTTATGAAATAATTTAAATGACAAAGATCAAGTTATTTGGAATGTCAATTTTTCCGAGGGTACTGCGTTATTTAAATGAATCAAATATGACGTTTGCCAGTTCCACAATTAAGCCAACGATTTACAGTGGTTTCTGCACAGAAATCTGAAAGGGGTTTTCCATTTAGGAAGATTTTCATAATTGCATTTAACGCTTCTTGTTTATCAATTCCACCATGCGCAGTATGTTGCTGTATTGTGGGTCATTCTGCTGCATTAGGTCCTTATAAATGGTTTGGGGTCGGAGGGCTGAAGTTTTCTGGTTTTTAACGATGTTATGTATCTTAAATTTTTGACCGCCGAGGACGGGTGGTTTTTCGAGCCCTGGACTATGTAGTATTCAAGTGAAATCTCATAGTATTATAAGTATTTCATTTTATAGTATCTATTTAGATAATATTTTTATGTGTATTTTAATTGTTTTACATTAAGGAACATACATACATCTAATAACATTGAGTTATTTTTTTTCTCCATAATTTTCAAATTTTACCCCTCACCCTTTCTTTTTACACTTTCATAACTTCTGAAAGCACACTACAAGAAAATTTATGGATTTACCCTTACTGATACATTCGTACACGTTTAAGCTTTCTGAGGATACCAATAGATACAGAACATGCAAATTATTTGGGTACCCGTTTGGGGCTAGTTATTTGGATTTCCATGTAAGCTGAAGTGGTTTTCGAAAAATGACGATAAATCCATGCTTTCGAAAATGTAAAAATATTATATAATTTAGTTATTCTGAAACAAATTATTTTTCTTGTGAAAGAATAATTCTGTGATATGTGTGAAGCTTTTAAATTTATATTTATTTAATATTTAAAAATAATACAGTCCAGAATATGCAGGTCCGTGCATGTGTATCTCGGTACATATGGCGAATTTTATGACTGTGTAGTAGTCAAGTGAAATTTTATAGTATTATAAGTATTTAATTTTACTTCCATTTACATAATATTTTTATGTGTATTCTAATTAATTGTTTTATATTAAGGTACACACATACAATTAATAACTTTGAATTTTTGCGGTTTTTCCATAATTTTGAAATTTTATCCCCATAAATTAAATATTTTTTATAATTAATATTGTATTCTTTTCAATAATTATACATTTTGCGTGGTTTGCATGATTAAAACAGTTTTGAAATAGTTTCATATTTTGTTTATCTCATTGTGGGGAAAGGACTTATAAACCATGCCAACCTTCATCTGTCAAAACGTACCCCAAAGCAGCATTTTGTTCACCGGATTTTGACCGCTTGTGGTGAGAGCTGTATTAAGTTCACCGAGTTTTGAGCATGTTTTGGAAAGGTCGAGTTTTCTGCGTGAGGGCTGTATCAAGTTCACGGTTGTATGCGTGGTCGTTCCTGTGTTGCTATTAGTAGTTGAGTGTGTGCAGGATCCCGATGCGTGTAATTGAGACAGAGAAGCAACAGCGTGAGGAAGGCAATGACCCAGTCACAAATAGCAATTTCACTGTTCAATGTGGACCGTCTATTGAAGTAGGCGAAGTATATATAT